TGTGGGATCCTTGAGTGAGGCCAGCCAGTAGAGCGCATGGTGATCGGTGACTACTCGGAATGGACGCCCGTATAAGTATGGGCGAAACTTGGTGACTGCCCACACAAGAGCGAGACAATCACGCTCTGTGTTTGAATAGTTGCGCTCTGCGGTAGATAGCAGTCGGCTTGCATATGCTATAACACGGTCATGTCCGCGTTAATGTTGCAATAGCATTGCTCCTATGCCATGCCCACTAGCGTCAGTGCGAACCTCGGTTGAAGCTGATGGATTGAAATTAGCTAAAATCGGCGGTGTTGTAAGGAGGGTTGTGAGCTGGGAAAAAGATGAGGCTTGATCAGCGCCCCAGAAAAACGGAGCGTCCTTCTTCAGGAAGTTTGTGAGTGGGCGTGCAATGATTGCGAAGTCCTTAATAAAGCGTCGAAAATAGAAGCACAAGCCCACAAAACTGCGAACGTCCTGTGTTGACTTTGGAACAGGAAAGTCCATGATGGCGCGAATTTTCTCGGTATCCGGGCGGACTCCTGCGGCATTGACAAGGTGGCCAAGTACGGTTATTTCACGACGAGCAAAGTGGTATTTTGGAGAGTTCAATTGAAGTTCAGCTCGACGAAAAACTTAAAGAATCGCCGATAAACGATCGAGATGGGAGTCGAATGTGGGCAAGAAAACGATAACGTTGTCTAAATAACATAAGCATGTTCACCATTTAAACCCTTGGAGCAATGAGTCCATCATTCTTTCGAATGTGGCCGGCACATTACACAGACCGAAGGGCATAACTTTGAAGTGATAAAGACCGTCAGGAGTGACGAATGCAGTCTTCTCACAATTCATCTCGTCTACAGCGATCTGCCAATAGCCAGATCGAAGGTCGATAGTGGAAAAATACGTAGCACCGTAAAGGCAGTCTAAGGCAATGTCGATTCTAAGCAACGGGTAAACATCTTTCTTCGTAATGTTGTTGAGATGCCGATAATCTATGCAAAAGTGTCATGTTACATCCTTCTTTCTGATCAGGACGACAGGAGAAGCCCAGGGGCTACACGAGGCCTTGATTATGTCTTTTGCAAGCATCTTTTCGACTTCCTGTTGTATGACTGTACACTCGGACGCGGAAACACGGTATGGACGTCGGTGAATGGGACTCGCGTGACTAGTATTGATGCGACGAGTAACAACACTCGTTCAGCTTAAGGCCGTGCTGGTGAAGTCGAAAATGTCACTATAGGACTGCAGGACGTGACGGAGGGCTTCCGCTTGATCAGGAGCGAGGTCTGATGGTACTATGCGGTCAACGTCGACGCTCGATGAACGTGATAAAGTTGGGTCATGGTCTGAGGTGCAGCAATCATGCACTCTGAAGGGCTCGACTGTATGGTCTTGTAGGGCAGTAATTTCAGCCAGGGAGATACCTTGGGAAGAATTTGGGCAGTGAGGGCAAAATTGACTATAGGAAGGCATGTGCGGTTTTCAACAATTGTCAAAATGGTGTGCGGAACAGCGACGCCATGGGTAAGCATTACGGCATGAATCGGTGCCACCATGTAATAGCCGTCAGGTACAGGTAATGTAGAGAAGAGGTCGATGTGTGTAACACAGTCAGGTGGAAGGCGTACGAAATCAATGCAGCAAAGACGGCTTTGGGGTGGGTTGGTCGTATCGGAAAGGAGAGGCATCTCAAGGTCAAAACAGCCGGCTGAACAATCTATAAAGGCCGAGTGAGCGGTTAGAAAATCCATACCCAGAATTAGATAATGAGGCCACTTTTCTGTTACGGTGAAAAGAAGAGCAGTGCTTCTATAGGCAATAGTCACACGGGCAGAGCACAGGCCAATAGTGGCGGCAGTTTCCCCGTCGGCGATTCGAACGGCTCGGTTCAAGGTGGATGTGACAACTTTCTTTAGGCGGCGACGAAGGGCAGCACTCATTAGGGACACATGCGCGCCGGTATCGATCAACGCGCGCACAGGTACGTTGTCTAAAGTAACGTTCAACATATTTCGGGGGGTCGGTAATGTCGTACGAGGATTTCTTGCAGAGGTCGTCGTCAATGCAGCTCCACCTCCAGAAGCTGCACTGCCTAGTTTTTCGGTCGGGGGCGCTGCGAATAGGTCGGAGAGGCAGGACGGCGTTGTGCGGGCGAACGAAATCGACGGCGGGCAGGGGATGATGAGCGGGTGTAGCGAGGTCTCGCCAGAGGTGCAGCAGAATCAGAGGATGAGGTCGGCATAGGCTAATCAAAATCAAATGCTGAGGAAGACTGGTGAACAGAAGTCCCCTGGGTAAGAGGCCCATAGTGTGCCGGCGAAGCCCAGTCATTGCGGCAGTGGCAAGCAATATGGCCGACGCGTCGGCAGTTGAAGCATATAGGCTTGTCATCTAGTGTACGCCATTCGGACAAATTGCTCTGTCGAGAGTAGTTGGAACTATAACGAGGAGCGGAGAGACGGCGATAAAAAGGCTCGGCAGAGTAGGGTATAGGCTGACGTTCGATAATTCTTGATGAACGACGGCTTGTATCAGTGAGATCGTGGTCGGTGAAGGATCAGGCGTTGGAACTGGAGTGACTACTGGTTGAGCTGCCTCGACCTCGCGACGAATGATGCGGGTGAGTTTGTCACATCGGGGAACTTGGTGGACGGCGCCATCGCAAGTGGAAGTAGCAGCTGTGTTCAGCAGGCGCGTGATGTCGTGGGTGACGCGGCGGGCTTTAGCCTGTTCTAGACAGCGCATTCTGTCAGGATCATGTCGACGCTCGTGACATTATTAAAAACCAGCAGGTTGAAGGCATCGTCAGCAATCCCTTAGAAATCATGATTAACTTTTTCGTCTTCCAACATGCGCTGGTCGACCTTGCTACAAAGCGCCAAGACGTCAAGAATGTATGAGACGTACGATTTAGTAGACGTCTGGGCGCGAGTGGTGAGAGTCTTCTTGGCAGCGAGCTGGCGACCAGATGAATCGCCTAAAGCATCACGGATCTTTGTTTTGAAGAGATCCCAGCTTGTGATTTCGACTTCATTGGTTTCGAACCATGTCCGCGGCGTGCCGTCAAGGTGGACTATAACATTGGCGAGCATGAGCGTGCCATCCCAGCGATGCGTAGGACTTACACGCTCGTACAGGTGCAGCCAGGAGTCAACGTCGATGGTACCGTCTGTGGAGAAACTGTCAGCATTCCGCAGGGGTGGCAGGGTGACGTAGGTTGTCGACTCGGCTGGAGAGGCCAGTGGTGATGAGGCACTGGCAGTTGAAGTCGAAGAGTTCCCGGCGTTGCGACCGCTGCGCGTCTCCATCCAGGTTCCGGAGTCGTCCACCTCCACCAATAATGTTACGAGTAACTTATTTATTAAATTATATACGATCGACCGTGCTCGGCGAACAAGATGGCGACAGTTCATCAACAACCAGCAACCGACGTCGTCTTTCTCTTTCATGCAGCAAGGCTGTGGCGGCTGTTGTATATCAATATAATAGGAAGCCACTGTACAGTTTTCTCATAGTGCTCTGCACCGCCACAGGGAATTTTAGGATTGCTTGAAAAAGATCTCTTATGAGTACTAGTGTGATCGAAGGTGTATGACATTTATGCGACCCTGAAAAACAATAACAGAAATGTAAGGAGTATTTATTATTTGCCATTTTTTTGTCATTGCTGCTTTACGAACCTCACAGATTTCGAGGTCGTTGGTTGGCAGGTCCATATTAGCATTTGCAGCTCCTGTCAAATTGTTTGGCAGGTTGTTTGCACTATGGGGTGGCTTAACACACTCGTTTTATTGAAATAGCAGTGCTCATGTGTACTGTGCAATGGTTAAATAATGTGTAATTGTGTGTGTGTGTGTGTATATATATATATATATATATATTTTTTTTTTCATGCTTTTTTTTTTGTAAGAGCAAACCTCCAAACTTTGGATCTCGTGTTAAAAGATAGAGCTTCTTTCGGTAGCCTGCTGCAAATATGGATTTTCGTGCCCTAAAAGCAACATTTTGTTGCTCCAAAAATTACTTCACATCCTATTTCAGTTGTTGTACCCCTGCTGATGCTTAGTGGTTGGGTTCAATGCTATAATATATGTATTTTTTTTTCACTGGACCTTCCTTTTTTATGCAATTTTTTTTAGTGTACATATACAGTGGATATCACTGATCTTCTGGCTGCTTTTACATCAGTCCAATCTATGCTCAAAAAGAAGTAGTGTGAGTACTCAAGGTAGTCAAACAAGTCTTCGAGGATGAATTAGCAAATATGTGGAAAATGGAAAAGAATGTCAAGAAGTGAAACCAGCAGTAACTGTTTTAACAGATCACTATTCCTAAAAGTAGTAGAAATATAAGTCTCTGCCTTTATAGTGAAGTCAGACAGCTTGCGAAAGACTGTGGAAAGTAAAATAGGAGATGTATAGAGCAATAGCTAACTAACACTAGCACAGACCTAGCAACAGCACCAATCTTGGGAACATTCCTGCATGTTGCGAACTTGAAAAGAGATAAAGGCTGGAGACCTAAAATATATATTTTTTTATTGCTAGTGCAATAAAGCTATTCATAATGTTTTGCAAACATCACGAATAAAAAATTTCAACGTGGGATGCCTTTTTTACACCCTCAAAAATGTTTGACATGAACTTGAAAGTCCTTGATCTCTTTAAATATGTGTTACAGTAAAAAAAAAATTGTATTGTCATAAAGCACACATTCATTTTTCTGAAAGCACACATTAATTTTTCTAAGGTAAACAGTGCACACTGTATGTTTTGCAATCGCTTCTGTGGATGACTGATCCAAACACCAGTTTTTACTGCTCTGAAAAACATTATGCCTGTTTTGGAAGCTGCTTCGAAATCGCATATGCCAGTGATTATTAGGCATATGTCACACACAAAAAAAAAAGCTTCATTACAATTTTGTGCTGCCCCATCTTCATAAGTGAGTGTTGTCTGTGCCTTCGCCTAATTTTTCTTTTTAATTTTTGTCATGTACTGGTCTAACAGTTCCAGCAGTTCAGAAGATGAGGAGAAGGAGACAGAGGAGGATGAAGATGTGAGTTTTTGCAATCGAAGTTCAGTTTACTTTCAGAAGAAATTGGAGAGATAGATACAGGTAATTTTATGTTATGTGGGCTACCACCACATCGCAGATGTTGCTGCTTTCACAGGTTGTTCATTTTGAGAAATTGTGGCCATTGTTGCTTACAACACATACATTAGTGGTCATCCTATAAATCGGCGGGAAAAACACAAAATGCTGTCTTTCCGAATTGGAGCGTTTCCTTGCAGTATAAGTGTACCACTTTTCCTGTAAAGGCAGAGTCCTCAAGACAAAACAACAAAAAAGAAAAGCAGCTGCATGGCATTGCTGTAATGAGTGTGAACCGAAGCTCCTGGGCCCTGCCGCGGTGATCTAGTGGTTAATGTACTCGGCGGCTGACCCGCAGGTAGCGGGATCGAATCCCGGCTGCGGCGGCTGCATTTTCGATCAAGGCGAAAATGCTGTAGGCACGTGTGCTCAGATTTGGGTGCACTTTAAAGAACTCCAGGTGGTGGAAATTTTCGGAGCCCTCCACTGCAGCGTATCTCACAATCATATGGTGGTTTTGAGATGTTAAACCCTACATATCAATCAATCAAGCAAAGCTACTGGGCCTGTTCTACCAACATGGTTTGTTATCAAAACCTTGCGTGTTTGCTAGAGTGGTGTGACACCGATGCCCTGAACCAAACCACTTGTTATCTACACAGTCTGGTGAATGCGCTACATCGCTAACCACAAAAACGGAAAAGCTGCTGTGTAAATTCACATGCAAGGCAACATATTGAATTACGGCACCTCCATTGATGGTGGCTTTATTTCTTTTTTTATGACATCATGTATCACATTAAAACCAAAAAGCTGGTTTACTGTGTCCCAAATTCAGTCACCACCAATGCATTGACTTGACAAAAATATTCTAAGTTGGCTTTTTAACAGAACAGCCACAACATTTTACTGAGCTGACCACAGCATGGTTGGTAACTGCTGGCAGGTCAGAAAAATATTGCTTGGCTACATAAAGCTTGTTGAAAACTTTTTGCAGCAATTCTCTTGCAAACTTATTTGTGGTTAATGCACCTGTTTCTAAGTTTCGATTGCTTTTGAGGGGAATGTACCTAATTTTTAACAGAATCTCCAATAGCTTTTTTCGAATTTACATACTAAAGAATGAACTCACAATATCATGTTTTATTTTATCACCCATTCAAATCTAAAATCATCTGCAAGATACCAGTGGTCAGTGATATGCATTTCCTGAACAATCATGATCGCTTCCATCATACTGAATATATGGTTACTATGGTTACTTATTCCTGTAGCTTGACTTGTGGCCATAACAATAATTCGAAATAGGGTGTCGAGTCTCGACACATGGCATGCTCGGCGTTGAATACATAGCTGCGTATTGCATTTGAAAAATGCAATAGTCTGCTGTACAAGTGATTTCTGCATGCCACATACCAATTGTGTTCTCTCCCTTTCTGTTCCTCCAAAGGCAAGAACAGCAATGCAATAAATCATTTTCCTACAACCACTGCAGGAAAAAAATGGCGCTCTGCATCTGTGGCCACACTGTGTTGCACCAAGCAAGACTTAAAAAATGTACTCATGAAAACCTTGTGCAAATGGCCACTGGCATTATCAGACGTTTCAATGTATTGTGTTGGATATCTTTGCAGTTCCAATGAAACTTATTTATATGAAAATGGTGGATAAACATTCATTATTATGAAAAAGAAATAGGTTGTGTTTCATGGATGTTAGGTTATGGAGTCGAAAACACTTTGTTACATAGAGAATTTTGCTATATTGAAGTTTGTTACATCAATATTTGAGGTATATCGCCACCTTTTTGAAAATCTCTTATGAGATTTCGATACTAAACTGATGGCTTTCTGTTTGTTTTTAAAAAGGGCTGTTTAAAAAGATACTTAAAAAACTTTTGGCAACAAAAGTGTAAGTAATTAATCACAATGTAGTTATGGGAAATACTCAAAATATACCCATCAAGCTAATGGTGACAACTGCAGATCCTCAGATATAAACGAAAAATTGCTTAGCAGCAATGTAGTTGTACATTCAGGCTGTGCAGTGAACTAGAAGCTTTGCATTGTCATCATTAAGCATAGTACGGGCAGAAAATCCAAAATTGTATGATTTCAGTTCATTTTATTTCAGTAGAAATCTTATAACATCAAAAGTTATTTGTTTAAGAAGCCTGGAAAGTTCCATTGAAAAATATTGGATCATTCAAAAGTTATCTTTCCTTATGCAAGAAAAAACAACTAAACTAAAAAAGAAGTTTTTAGAAAAACAAGTTTTTCAAATGTGTTATATACATCATTGGAATGTTGTGAGATGCTAAAAGCCACCAGGCTCATAGCTTGGACATTTCTCAGCTGTCAAAATTCATCAAAACAATTTAAACTGATATTTCTCATGTATGGACCGTTCGGCCACTATGTGCCCTAATCATGTCACGTGAATCACCGTTTTGGCATCACGAAGAGCGCCAAAAGAACGAGAAATGCCTAGAGAGAATAACACGCTCGATTGTGTATCTTCAGGAGCTGTTTTAGAATAGGGAATGGAACCATGTACATGAGAGCAGTCAAGACACCGCAAATGCTGCTCTAAAAATCTTAAAGCTGCAGAAAAGAAGGTGAATTGATGTATTTTATGCCTAGATTCTCTGCTTAGATTAAGATAGGGCAAGCAGTGGCACACTCCAACTATTGCGCAGCGGCGGCGCACTGCTCTAGTTGCCAGTCTACAGCTGATGCAAGACATGCTTAAAAAAACGCCTAGGAGCTGCTAAACCACCGAACGAAGAACTTGCAACAGCTGAGAAATGTCCAAGCTATGAGCCTAGTGGTTTTTAGCATCTCACTACCTTCCAGTGGATGTATATAACACATTTAGAAAACTTATTGTTTTTCTTAAAACTTCCTTTTTATTTTAGTTGTTTTTTCTTGTGTAAAAAGTCATAACTTTTGAACGATCCAATATTTTTCAATGACACTTTCCATGCTTCTTTTATGAAGTGATAATCTATGCAAAAAACAAGAATAATTGAAAATAACTCGTAACTTTTGATGGTTTGAGGTTTGGACTTAAATGCGACCAACTGAAATTATACAATTTGGGTTTTCTGCCTATACTATACTTAATATTGACAACGCAAAGATTCCAGCTCATTGCACAGCCTGAATGTACAACTACATTGCTGCTAGCCCTGCCGTGGTGGTCTAGTAACTAAGGTCTAGTGGCTAAGGTCTAGTGGCTAAGCTGCTGACCCGCAGGTCGTCGGATCGAATCCCAGCTGCGGAGGCTGCATTTCCGATAGAGGCAAAAATGCTGTAGGTTCGGGTGCTCAAATTTGGGCGCACGTTAAAGAACCCCAGGGGGTCAAAATTTCCGGACTCTCCACTACGGTGTCTTTCATTATCATAATGTGGTCTTGCGGCGTTAAACCCGGCATATCAATCAACTACATTGCTGCTAAGCAATTTTCATGCCATGCCTCCGATTGCACTAAGATCTCGGTGTATTACCAGCGAACTACCAATGCCTGACATTGTATTTTCCATTGATGGCATAATATCTTGCATAGAATGTCTCAAGTTAACATCATGAGCTGGTTTTAACGAAATTCGAAGTTTTTACTTAATACTAAGAACATTTCGGCTGCTTTCTTGTGTCTTTTGTTTTCTCAATCCCTTTCAACAGGTCACTTGCCCGATGACTGGAAAGTGGGAAAGGTCGTTCCCATCCATAAATCTGGCAGTAAGCAGTCACCATTGAATTATCGTCCAATCTCGTTAACAAGTATACCATGCAAAATCATCGAACATGTCATTTATTCACAAATCATGACCTTTCTAGACTTAAATGATTTTTTTAATCCTTCACAGCACGGTTTTCGCAAAGGTCTATCCTGTGAAACTCAGCTAGCTAACTTCCTTCATGATTTACACTTAAACTTAGACTGTAACCAGCAAACTGATGCCATCTTTTTAGATTTCGCTAAAGCGTTCGATAAAGTGTCTCATCAGCTCCTTCTTTTTAAACTTTCTAGCTTAAACATTAACCCTAACGTTCTTAATTGGATTGCAGCATTTCTGAGGAATCGCTCCCAATCAGTTTTTGTTAATGAGTGTGTTTCTAACCCTCTTCCAGTTATGTCCGGTGTTCCCCAAGGTTCGGTGTTAGGTCCTCTACTGTTCCTGATATACATTAAATTAACGACTTACCTTTGCACGTTTCATGTCACATTCGCATGTTCGCCGATGATTGCGTCATTTATCGTACTATTACTAATCCAACTGAGCAGTAAGCACTTCAACATGATCTTAACTCTATTCAAGTATGGTGTGACCATTGGCTCATGACACTTAACCCAACTAAATGCAAATCATTATCTTTCTCACGTCGTCAAAACCCTTTAACTTTTCCTTACACACTCGGTAATGTTGACTTGGACAGAGTCGAATCTTATAAGTATCTAGGTGTAACATTGTCATATGATCTAACGTGGGGTGCGCATGTCACTAACATAATAGCGGGTGCTAACAAATCACTGGGATTTTTGAAACGTCATTTACGCCACGCTCCCAAACACCTGAAACTTCTAGCCTACAAATCTATTATCAGGCCAAAGCTTGAGTATGCGGCTGCCATTTGGAGCCCGCCTCAGGCTTGCTTAACAAATTCACTTGAGGCACTCCAGAACCGCGCGGTCCGATTTATTCATTCATCATATTCATATCATGTCACTGTGTCATCATTGAAAGAAGAATCATCTATATTAACTCTTGCACTTCGTCGTCGCATTGCCACCCTAGCTCTATTCCATAAGTTCTATTACAGCTCACGTGACCGACCGGACTTTATCATCACTCCAGCCCGCATATCTCATCGCACCGGTCATGCCCTACTAGTCACCCGTCCACGCAGCCGCACCAAGACATTTTCTGCCTCCTTCTTTCCACGGGCATCATCTGAATATA